TTAAAGAAGCAAAGTGTTGAATAGGTATCATTTAATGTTGCCGTTGCAACTAAGATCCTTAATTATTTGAATAAATATATGGCGTAAGGGTAAGGTCTTGGACGGACACCAAATCAAAATGGACGAACGTCTAAAAAAGTTGTATGTGATGAACGAATGTCTGCAGAGATTGCGAGTAGGGCAGATCTTGCCGGTAGAACTCCGGAGGAAGCTGGAACTCGTTCTTGTAAAAAAAAGCAAAGGAGAAATCGTATGGGGCCAGGGGTAGAGCCGGGAGTTCATCCTCAATTATGACCGCTCCCTCAACAACAAAAATGTAGAAGCTTTCCTGCCCTTCCTAGCGTAGTTGCTCATGCAGTCTAAGTGTTCTTGTTTAATTCAATACCCAGTTACAGTAATTCCAACTCTATGACCTAACTCTATAACTGTTACAAGTTCGATGTTTGTTCCAATGCCTTTTGAGCGGGAAATACGTAACGAACTCTAATATATCAATATAAATCGTCTTTTTAACCAAATCAGCGTCAAACACCCCCACCAAAATCGGCGTAAAGAAGCCCAATAAAGAGCAGAAGAATTCTCTGAAAAATCTGGAAAAAATTATGAGGAAGAATCGCTGTACCTTTTTGTGATTTAGGTTTCCGGCGGAGACCCACGAGACCTCACGCTCCGATTAGCAAACTTTTGTTTCTCATATTTTGCTTTCCTTATATCAAACACTTTTGGTGCACTTCTTGACACAACTTATAGTGCAATAACCAGATCAGAGCACATCCTTTCTTTCTTGCTAGAGCCTTTTATCTCTCGATGAAGAAAACACTCCCCAAGTAATGCACTGCAGTGCTTGTCCTGCTTGCATGCGTTTGTGCACATTACAAAAGGGGTTTTGTAATTCCCTGGATTTTCAAGTGGGTTAAGGTTCAATTGGAGACCTCATGCCGAGGACTGATGTAAGGCAACTTCCGTTTGCTTTTTTTATAGGCACAATGTTTGCAAAATGAACATAGCAACAATGTAAGCACTATTCGAATTGAATATCCTCCATCATTTATCGCGAATCCCCAGTACGATGTAGCAGATAATTCCTGCGCTAGCTGCAATATTTTTCAAAGTTTAATCTTGCCAGTGTTAATAAGAAGCTTCAGCAAATGTAAGTGTTTGGCTACATTCGCCCCAAGAACCTTGGTTGAATGTTCCTCAAATTATCAACTGCCCGTGATCGCCGTTAAGAGTTATTAAAAAATTGAAAAGTCTAGGACCAGTATGAAGCTTGATGTTAGTCTCGTTCTAGAGGTACGTCGCAAACCTCAGCGGTTGCAGTGGCGTTGCTTTTGCAGCCATTCTATGGCAATTTCATCAAAATTAGGTTACAGCTCAAAAATGTGAATTTTTGCATTTTTACTTCTTTTCCGAATAGAGGAAAGATGATTCCTCTAAACTTCATAAAAATCAGAGCAGAATTTTTTAAAAGGAAGAAACTTTAAGAAAAATAATACTGGTTTTGGCTATAAGCTCCAGATGCAGTATTGGAAATATCTGATTCTAGTTGCTGAAAACAGCAGGCTGCCAGATAGAATCGGCTTTAGCCTCATGTGCCGAAATTAACTGGACAAAAGTAGGACCATAATAAGTTGACATACCTGCCGGTCGGGCCCTATTGCAAAAGCAAAATTGGTTCATTCAGTCTACCATACAGTTAAACAGGGCTATTTACAGTTGCAATAAAACTTATTGTTATTTGTAGAACTCGTTATTGAAATCAAAACAACACTTGCCTAATGAACACTAAACTAAAAACTACTAATCAACACTTTTTGCTAACGCATCTTTCGGAAGTCAAACTGCATTCAAGCTCTATTGAACTCGTTTTCTTTTTTACTGTGCAGCATTATTCACTCTCGCATTACAATTTATATGTATACATATATTCATTTATTAGTTTTCAATCATACCGTTTTAAGTTTAATACTGAGGGCTATCGTTTGAGTTTGGGAGTGGAGCAATTTTACATAAAAGATGATTTTTGAAGTCACGTAAGAATTAAAATTCAATAAAAAATTCCCTACAAAGTTGCCGCAATTATTTTGTAAAAAAAAACTTCACCACATTCTTTTTGGAGGAAGGAAATGGATGATGATACATTAAAGGGACTCACTTGTTGATAATGCAGTGGAACTTCAGGAGCTTTGATGTAAAGATTAGATGACACTGAGGCTTCCTCCTTTTCCACACGTTTGTATGTGTGTGACAGACTTTGCTAACAAGAGAACTTTTTACTGAAGTGGCCATTCAAAACAACACATATTCCATAATAATAAGTTGGGTATGGGAAACTCCAATCTGCCTTCCTTATCTGCAAAACGGCTTTGTAGAAAAAGATATGGACATTTGTTTCCTGGTGTTTTGGTTTGCAGATGTGCGGTGCGTGTTCGAGTCCTTTGCAATAATGTATATCTGCTTAATAAATCTCTAAAAAACACTTACTTTGACTAAGTAGTCACGAGTATTTATATTATGATAAGAGCATTTCCCTTTTTAAACTCCTGCTTAGTTTTGCTTTTTTCCTGATATAATAGGATGTTGCAGTGCAAACAGTTGCGACGAAGAACATTTCCTTTGATGCGCTGACTGCGAGCAGCTTTTATGTTTTTTAACTCGTTATAGACGACCACAACATATGTTCATGGTGTAAATAATTTCAAATTAAGTTGATTTTTGACAATAAATCACAAGTTACCTGCATCTAACATAGCAATAACACGTAGCAAAAAATACAAAACGCTGTGCTGAAAGGATTCGAAACTACATCGCACATTTGCAAACCAAGACACTTACCACTACGCCATTCTACCAACTAGTGTGTATTGCGCTTGCGCAAGTACTCCATATCGTAAATGGCCTTATGGAAACAAATGTCCACATTTTTTTCCAGAGATCCCTCTCACATATTTGCAAGACAGTTTGAGTTTCCCATACCCAACTTATTATTATGGAATATATCTTGTTTTGGATGGCCACTTCGAGTAGAAAGCATTCCCTTGTAAGATATCAAACCTGGACGGGACAGTGTTTTTGTATCTGCCATGCACTGAAAACTGCCAGAAAAGATCAGCCAAATGGTACTAATCATGTTCGTACTATATATTGAAATTACGAGAAAATCTGCATTATTACAACAAATAATAGATTCAATTAGCGTGCCATTAAGTCTTACTCCTGATAGTGATATATAGCAGATTAAATGTTTCTATTTAGAAACTGATTGTGCTAAAAATGTTCGTACAACATCAGGATTACGAGAAACCTGGCTGTCACAATCGAAGGCAAATTCAATCGTTACACATACTGCAACGAAAAAAACTTGATAACTCGAACAATTAGTTCTAGAAATATTGCATCATACGTAGCTCTACTCCTCCAACAAATCTTTAGCCTGTGGAAGGGTTATGATATTTGAACAGGATGTCACGTTACCCTTCTGAGTGAAGTAGAAAAAAGCAAAATTCCGAAAGTTTGGGGTACTAAATGAGCAGTATCAGAATTTTCAAAAAAGCAAAGGTGAGCTTCAATCATTGGGCTCCCAATAATGTCTTAATCTCGTTTGAATTAACATCAGTATCTCTGTGGAAAGCACAAGAAAGGCCAAGCATAGGAATCATGAACGCATCATGAAGACAAGCTACTCATGGTTCCAATCATCCTCTTGAGTTCAGTCTCATATTGCTAGTAAGCTACGCCGCATCGAATTGTGTATTGTACGGAATTCACAGCTGGTAATCTATCAAAATGCGCTGCACACAAACCACTGTATGTGACAGAAATGATTTTATCTTCCGATTTTATGATAATTTAAATCATGATGTCGGCGTCTACTAAGTGGTTCTAAATGTGTTAGGGTTTTCTTCGGCGAAGGCGATAGCGCCAAAATGTTGGTTAGATCTGACATCTGTGCACGCTCAGATCAAGCCACGACAGCAACCTCTGCAGCTTGAGGCAGGCAACGGCCTGCCTTTTTTACCGCCCAGAACAATGAAAATAATTGAATTTCTTTTGTTGCATGGGTCTACGTGTACTCAGGCTTTTTTAACGCATAAGTTAGGGCTTGTTTCTGGTTCTCGGAGCACATGGAGCATTCAATATTTCAAATAACAATAGTAAGATAAAAATGCCTTGTTAGCCTTTATTTATCCATGAAGAGCAAACTTTGTTGCCGGAAAAATGCTCAAATTATTAACAGAAACGACAAGTTCTGCCACAATATGTTCTTCTCTGCTCAAACGTGTAGAAAAAGTTGTAGCAGAATCCATTCAGGACCCAATATACGCAGCTAAATAGCATTTTCAGATAGGATGGTATGTTGCATATGCTGATATACTTACCTCGGATGGTTGCCACAGTTAGCAGGCACTAAAACAAAATATGTGTGAGCAGATAGAAAAGCCTTGCAATTATTGTTTACATAGCACATTTAAGTGTTTCCATCATTTACAAACATAGGCTTGAGAGGTTTGTAGTTAGTGGTGGACTTTACTCGTAAAAAACTTTTCCTCAATTTCTTTTTTTGACAACCTTTTGCGGTCAGCGATGCTGCGACTTTTACGACTGATGTAAGAATGAGTGGGTTTCAAGGAGCTAATATTAGGCAACAAAACTTGCAAGTTGTATACGCACCATCGCTCTCGACTGCAAATAATGACTGTAAAAAGCACTTACCACTAGGTCGTACTTCTTCGGTACAGTAACCACACGTTTTCTTGCAGTTTTCCTAAAATTGCAAATCAGTACTTGGCTGAATGGGTGATTGCGTAATCATAGGTTAGATTCATAGAGCCACGGCTCTGGTCACCTTCACTAATGAGCGAAGAAAGGGTAGGACTTTCACCAAAGGAAGTT